GACCGTGCATGGCTCCCAGCGCTATGATGCATCACTTGGCTTAGTATTGAAACATGACGTATCGTCTTTGTAGGTAAGAAGAAGAGAAGTGACTTCACTACGGAGTACATAGGGGTTTCCAACCTTCAAGTTGGAATAGAAATAAGAGATTCGTTTTGCGAGGTGGGGAAATGTCCGCAAGTGATCCCAACTGGGTAAAGAGAAAGAGAGGATATAATACACATACAAATATCAGGAGCGTCTTTACAATGCATCGTAGAATATCGAGCCAACGGACCAAAAAGCAGCGTCGATCAGCCCCGTGCGGTATATGCATGGCCATCTCGATAGGGGATGGGCTAGAGATGAGACAAGAAGAGTACAGTTGAAATCAAAGGAGACAAAGAGCAAATTAGAGTTGATCTTAGCGAAAAGGATGTTAATGCCGACAGGTCATTGGTGTGCAATCCTCCGGTGATCGACCGAAATGTCGATCTGAGCTCTCTTCTTTACTGCAAGCGATCTATTTCTCTTTCGGTCGAATGGTCCGATCCGAGCATGAGAATGCTTTTCGAACTTTCTAGGCCAAGGAAGAACCAAGAGAAAATCGTAAACGGTTGTATTTGACCCCTTTGGCCTTGGAGCAAGTTCGTCCTTTACTGCGGCTCCCTTTTGGCCCCGTATGCATGATCGGCCACTCCGTGTCTGTGCGAGTGCTTGGTTCACGTCTGTTTCCAGGATCTTTAGTCTGATCGTCATATCTTCTGACATTTCGTCGAGCACAATATGCTGATAGAGTATAAAACCATTGCTCGTGGTTACATCGAAAATATGCTCCTTGTTCTTAGAAATTAGAAATCTACATACTCTGGACAATAGAGCCCTTCCGAGGTTCGACCGACAGATTGGCTAAATGGGGTAATAGGATAAATTGGTAAATTGGTAAATTGGGTATCGCAAACTGAGCATAAACTAAAAACCTCAAGAACTTCGTTAGGCATAGACGTCCACTTGACCATTGCTTTGCATGGGTTCAGATGGGCCACTGGTGATCGCTCTGGCGGCCACCTTCCTCATGTTCTCAATTGCCTTCTTGAAGTTGGCCTTGTCATAATCTTCGGGCATATGCTCTCCACTATAGATGCAAAGCACGCGCATACCCGGCTTGTAAGAGAGTTGTTCAAGCAGCTTAGGTGTAATGAGGAAGTACTGGCCGCCCCCGCCACCGCCGATGGGGTTGCCGCCTTCGTCGGTTTCTTCGGTTTCGTCCGAGGCACAGGCAATGTCCACCAGGCGTCCGTGAACCATGCGCTCGTTTCGCGGGTCCATACCTTGATTGATCTCATCCACAACGCGGAATGGCGAGGCGGAGAGCGACTGCAGTGCCATGAGATAGAAGATGGTACTCACCGCTCGTTCACCACCGGACTGGCGATGTGAATCCAAGACTGACAGCCCCGCGCCCTGACGGAACTGGACGTGAATCACGATCGACCACTCCCCGAATTCGCTAGCACCAGGCTCGCCATTGGGCCCAGCTTCACCTTCCGCTTTGCCCAAGGTGACCTGGCCAGCACATCCAATGCGGCGGAAAGAATCCGAGAAGGCATCGCTAATCTTCTCGATGAGCGCTTCCAACCTAGGCTCCCAGTCCTTGCGGATGTCCGTGATGGCGTTGTCAATTTCCGTAAGCTTGTTCATGAAATCGGCGAGTTTGGAGCGCAACTTCTCAATGGATTTTCGACGGTCTTCGAATTCTTTGATCATCTGGCTACTACCACCATGGGTGAGTTCTAGTCGGGCCTTCTCAGAGTCAATGTCGGCTTCGAGCTTATCTATGTCATGATCGTTGAGTTCTTCAAGTAGAGATTGCGCGTCGGGTTGGTCGTGCAGTTCTCGGCTGATTTGCTGAGCTTTTTGGAAAACTGCTCTGGCCTTCACTTTGGATTCCCTTAATTTGACTGTAGCCTCCTGCGCCTGTCGTCTCTTTGTTTCTAGTAACTTCGTACTATCAATGTTGCGATGCCGCAGGGTCTGAAGGTCGGAAGTTGCCTCCAGGAATAGGACCTCGACTTTCATGAGCTCCTCATGAGCTTGACGGAACAATTCGACAGCATCCTGCATTCCGTCAGATACGGTAGATAGAAATGTCAGTGATGAACTTACGGCATATTCGACAGCGACCTCGGCCTTTTGAATTGCCAATTCGTCTTGCTGGTTGCGAAATTCACGAACTCTCTCCCGTACCCCATCAAACATGGCTGTAATGTTTTGGAGTTTGGCCTCTTGTTGAGCTGCAAGCAGTTAGACAAATACCAGACGGCAGAAGAACAAGAAACGAAACATACATATTTTCTCTGGGATTGCTCGGTACTGAGTGTGAGCCGTCTGTTTTGCGCTCTTTTCTTTCTCGATGTCTGTCTGTAGTACGATTAGTATATCGTGTGACGAAAACAAGAGGACTATGCGGAATACCATTTCTCGCTCGGTCTGCTCGTGTTCTTCGCTTATTTTTTTCACGGCAGCCCTTTCGGACTCGAGCTTCTCCTTGATGTCCTGCAGCTGTTCATTCCATAACGTGATGTTCTCTTGGTGTTCACGTTTAAGGGAAACATCAACAGGCTGTTCGGTCCACACCTGAGCAGGCTTGATCTCTCGAACCCGAGTTGATGTGGCACCAGGTCCATACTCTCTACGCCGAGTCACTTGATAGCTTTTTTTCCCAGATACCCAGGAGCTCATTGAACCCTCCTCCAAGCGGGCAAAAACTTCATTTGAAATTTCACGCAGTCCGATAGGAGTCAAGTGTAGGCTCTTCTCACTGCACAGCATGGCAATGACAGGATCGGGCCCGACCAGAAAATCCCTTGCCCAACCATCGAATCCCAATTGGGCAAGTTGATCATTCGTCATTGGAGGCCTCATAGTATCCAACGACAGCGAGCAGGTGCGGATGCTAATGTCATGGAGTCCCAATGTTTGGTTAATCGCAAATTGCAAGGTGCGAAAATCATTCCTGGTCTGTACGGTGAACGACGTGAAGTCTGTCTTCTGGAATAAAGACTCGACAGCATCGGCAAATTTGGGGTCGGTGATTGAGCACGTAACGATTGGAGGGCCGAAGACTTCTTTTTCAAACTTGCTTTGGTTTTCAAGAAGCCATCTATAGGCTTTCAACGTATCGTTGGAAGATTTCTGCAACTTGAGTTCTTGTTGGCCGGAGGCTGAATCCAAGCTGCTTAGCTGGAGTTCGGCCTGCTTGATACTCCTTTGCACTTGCTGTTGCTGCTCCTGGAGTGGCTGTCTCCTATCTTGGATTTCTCTGGCCTTTGCCTCAAGCTCGCGTTTTTCGCGCCGTTTCTCTCTCTAATGTTGTGATAAGTATGCTGGTCCAAATCGGAAGACATAGGGTTCTTACCAAGGTCTCGTTGTAGAATTCCGGGTCGAACTCCACGGCCTCCTCTTCTTGTTGGCGTCGAAGTCTATGGATAGCTTGCTGAGCAGATGCTGCTTCGGACTTGTGCCTCTGACCACTCTTTTTTTCGGCCTCAATCCGACCTTTGAGATCCTTCATCCTATTCTCAAATTCATCGATTTTTTGGCCGCGTTGAGTGGCGACCCTAGATGCCTCGTCAACAGAATCCTTTCGATCATCTTTCACAACGTTCAATCGTGCGATATAGGCCTCTTTGGCGTTGACTGCACGCAAGATAGGCTCGTTTTCTGCCTGAATCCGATGATATTCACGCTCAGCTACAGCTTTGGTAACCTTCAGGGCCTCGACAGCATTGTGGTGTTCCTTGTACTCGACAATTGGACGGCAACGCTCAAGGATTTCGATTTTCCGCTTGATCACAGCTCTCTGACGCATTCTTTCAACGTCGGCTCTCTGCATCTCTTGGCGATTCTCCATATTTTCTAGCAATTCCTTGTCACCACTGTTGTCCATCTCGAGTTTCTTCTGCTCAGCTCTCAGTCTCTTCAAGGCATCATGCCATTGGGTCATTTCCGGACCAGCTGCTGCTCGTTGCGTGGAATGAAGAAGCTCAATCGGTGTAAGTGCAGCAAACTCGGCGACTTTATCCTGAGGAAGAAACTGGCAGAGATTGTCTACCTGGATGGCGAAGGACTGAGCCAGTTTCAACACATCGTTCTTGGAAGCGGGTGCTCCGTTGAGTGTAAATGAGCTTTTATTGCCATCGCGCTTGATGAGTCGCTGGATGACAGGGTTGTGACCAATCTTGGGCGGTCCGCATAGTTCAATCTCAATCGTAGCCTCTCGGGCCCCATGCTTCACAAACTCGCCTAGTTCCTTGGCGCGTCCAAGGTGCTAAAGATCAGGTGAGTATCAGTATAGGGAGGCTGTGCAGTATTATAGTCCGGGTCTTACCTGAGGTCCCCACCCCAGGCCTAAGCAGATGGCACAGACCAGGGTGCTTTTGCCCGTTCCATTTGGACCAATGACCATGTTGAGCTTTGGTCCAGGATAAAACACTGCTGATGTATAAGTCACAAAGTTTGTCACCTTAATCCGCACGATCGCGCCCGGCTTATAACCACCGGGACCAAGACCATCGTGGGCTGTCGCACGCGGGACCTGAGAAACTGCTTCCGGTATTTCAGATCCAGCACTATCCCCATCCCTCTCTCGTTCCCCTTCGCCTTCGCTCTCGTCTCCAGAGTCTGATCCGCTATCGCTTTCAGCAAGGTCCAAGCGGGGACGTTTGTTGTTCGAGGGTTGGGCTTGGGGAGTAAACGTAAAGTCTTCGTCTTCTTCATCCTCACTGTGAGGTCGACGACGAGGAATACTGGGTGATGCCATGCTTGTTGGAACCCTCAAATAGATGTAGAGGGAGCCTCATGGGCTGTCTGTGAAATTCGCTTTGTCTGGCTGTTCTTTGTTCAAGTCCGACGCGAGGAACGCGTCCGCGATCAATAAAGTCCGATTAGTAGGCGGTGAGAGCCTCGAAATGGCCAATTGGTTGCAGCCAAAACAGCTTCGACTTTGTATAGCACTCACCATGCCTCCTCCGAATATCAAGCGGTTGATCTTAACTACTGCAGTTGTTTCTATCACTATCACGGGTACTCTTTATGGCGCTCGTCTCAAAACTGATCAAGAAATTGCTGAGGTATGAGCGAATCCGCCTAGATCGAATTTATCCATTTACCTGCAGCATTTCAGATCTAACAATGATGCGACATAGACAGTAAAGCAACGACAACAATCGACGTTTGATGAGCAAACCAAAGCTCTCCAGGATATGCGCTCCAACCTGATTGCTCGGAGAGGCATAATTGAGAACCAGATACGAGACCTGGATGCAAGGATGCTAGAGAAGCAGCAGAAAGGCATCAGTGGTGATGCTCAAGATCAACCGAGTGGAGGTCGATGAGCCTATGAAGTAATTGCCCAACGGAGGCAACGGATTCACAACTACCGTTCAACGCGAACCAACCCACGATGCAACCGGCATGCTTTGAGTCTCCGAAGGACCGGGCACCACTTGCGATTCAAATACAAGGTGGCGGCTATCGACTACATAGTTCCAACATAGGTCTTAACACCCACTAGCTGCGCAGCAAACTTTCTACTAGGCCTGTTGCACTTGTTTTTGATCTTCGAGTCCCACAATCCAACCATGGCCTGCAAAGTCTGGAAACATTGGACTTGCTTCGATTGATGGATTTGACTGCTTGTACATAACTTGGGGTGCTATTCAAATCAACTATTACTTCTTTTGTTTATAAACAAGAATATATATTTTTTCCTCTCGCCCGAAGTGCTAAAGATAATAGTGCGATGAAATCAGGAGACGCCGTTGGTCGACTAATTTGGAAGCTAGTGGCGAGACCCCAGACGCCTAAGCCTCGAGGTTCAGTCTTTCCAGCAAATCATCCAGCTTTTCGAGCAAGATCTCATAGTTCATCGCATCTTCCGAGAATTCATCCTCAACAACCGCGCCGTCGAGAGTTCGAATCTCCGGGGCATGGACTTGTAGCTGCTGGCCTTGATTGGGGATAGCCTCCTTGGAAACATTCAGGGTCTGTACACCTTCTGTAAGATCTAAAATATCTTCCAGCGGCTCGTCTTCGTCTAGATCTTCCGGTACTTCTTTTTCTTCCATCATCTCATTCAGACCAGCCTCACCAAATCTCAATCTAAACCGCTCTCCAAGATAGAACCGGATATCATCCAGCATTTCAATGGAATCGGTTTCCTGTCTCGCCTTGATACGAGATGCTGATTCCTGGATCAACTCCGCAAATTCTGGCCTATCTATATGGGCTTCCAGTCGATATGCGAGATATCGAGCAGCGAACTCTTCCAATCTCTGCACGCGCGTCAACCACGCCGCTCGAACGATTAAGTAAATGTCAATGTCATCTTCTTCCGCGCCTCCTCGAGTTTTCGCAGCCTCCGCCTGGGACATCCCAGCACTACCGAGGGTGCTGATGACCATGGCGGCTTTCGTCTTCAGCTTCTCAATGAAGAGCATGTCTGCGGCGAATAGGACGTCGACAGCGATTTCTAAGGGGAAATCGGCTCTTTCGGTGTATAGGAATGTAAGAATAATTTCCAAGACTTCAGGCGAACAGTTGACGTCGATGATCGTCAGATGCTCATTGAGGTAAGCTTCGCGAAAAGTGGATGTAAACATTGCCTGGAAAAACTCAGACCGCAAAAGCATTGCTCGATGGCATGGGAAGATGATCGATTTCGGCGCCTCGAGGTTGTTCTCATTCGCGGTAGAGATAGCGCCAATAGCAATCGAACTGGATGTGCCATTTCTGACCTCTGATGTGTCAATGTCCTCTTCCTCCTCATCATCGGGGAGTTCATCCGCTCTCAGAAGAACATCAGCGAAGATTGCATTGCTTCGATCCCACTTCACTTCATCCACCTTCGAAGTCTCCACCTCGAGCTTGTTCCCCAGAATATTCTCCTGGAACCATTGTTCCATTTGATCTCGGCCCTTGGAAATATCGTCGGTTCTTCTTTGTCTAGCACGTCTTCTGTCTCCACTATCAAGGATACTGTCTAGAAGACTAGGTATCTCCAAATACTTGGAAATTCTATCCAGCGCTGCAAAAGTCTCGGACTCCATGAAGCCTGTCCCTGGTCCACTTCGCAAGTCCCGAGGAGCTTCTCCAAAGTACAGATATTTGATAGCCGCACCGAATGCCTCCGGTGAAATGGTGCTGGGGAGATTCCATGTTGCAGATTCTGGTGCCACGGCCAGTTTACCATGGAAGTATGGAGAGCGTGCCGCGAGGATGAATTTGTGGAGGTGGAGCGATTCGTCGGATGCCGTCACAACAATATCTGTTGTTAATGGAGATTCACGGGTAAGAAGTGTAGTTATATGCGCGGCTAGCGGCTGGAGGGGGTCCGTGGACTTGGAATAATCATATTCCAGAAGGAGATTTCGTATCCGGTCGTTTAAAGCATTATAGAGACATCTATAGAACCACCATTGTTAATTCTAGCCACTTCATAGAGAATCAATTGCTATTTACCTCTCACCCTGAAATGTGTCTCGCTCACAAAGTGCACCAGACTCGAGAAGAAGTTGCGCAACCTCATAATGACCACAGAGACTCGCCTACCAGGTTCATTGATTATTATGCGATACACGGGATTGGCACGGTCAAATTATCAATATATTGTACTCACCAGAATCAATGGCGTATAATCATAGGGATCACGAGCATTAACATTGACGCCCTCGGTGATTTTCTCCTGGCAGACTTTCAGATCGCCCTGACGGCATGCGCTGCATAGTTCACAGAATGGCGCACTGAGATCTAAAGGGTTATCATCCTTAATAGTGCCCTCCTTAATCAATTCCTTCTCATTGACTAAGCTGATCTCTAGCTGGTCCTTCCGCAGCACAGTTGGCTCATCCATCATGCAGATTGCCAGGAACAACAGGTCGAAGTGGGATGAGGCCGAGGGCAAACTGCAACGGCGGGGCGGAAACTGGCTTATCGATAAGAATCACGTGATTGTACAACTGTGAAGTCTGAGATTAAGGGGGTGTCCTATATTGTAGAGATATTTGGAAGAGTAAATAGTGACTAGAATGGTTAAAGTATGAATCAATGTATATACATAGATATAGATATTCAAGTATACATCACAACAAGAACTGTAATAATCATAATTGGTTAAACACCATTCGCCTCCTTCCGACCGTTTGATCGACCTCCCCTACCGCCTGCTGGGTTGGGGAAAGCGCCATAATCACCGTTGCATAGCAACGATCCCCCAAACACCCGTCTTCAAAGCTCCAATTCATATTGCCTTGACTCTTCCTCAAATCTTCAACTCTACAGCTAGACTTTTTTTTACTAACACAGGATCTTGTTTTATACCGTTCATGCATCATTGACCCTCATTCTTCTGTTTCGCCTTCACCTCAACGTCCTAAACCAACTCTACAGCAATCTATAGCCATGGCGATTGCTTTGGCTGAGGCCGATAAGTATGAGATATTGGACAAAATTGGTAAGTTCTACCTTTTTGTGACCTAATTTGTATCCTACGTGCTCAAAACTAATCTCATATTCATTCAGGTTGCGGTTCCTTCGGAATCATTCGCAAAGTCAAGCGGAAGTCAGATGGATTTGTAAGTGTGCATAGTTGGCGTGTTGCAACCAGAACTAACCTCAAATTGCTCCTAAAGATTCTTTGCCGCAAGGAAATCAACTACATCAAAATGTCTCAGAAAGAACGCGAACAACTCACTGCCGAGTTCAACATTTTGAGTTCCCTTCGTCACCCAAACATCGTCGCATACTACCACCGGGAACATCTCAAGGCCAGCCAGGATCTGTACCTTTACATGGAATATTGTGGTGGCGGAGATCTAGGCATGGTCATCAAGAACTTGAAGAAGGCCAACAAATACGCCGAAGAGGAGTTTGTCTGGCGCATTCTCTCCCAGCTTGTCACTGCTTTATTCCGGTGTCACTACGGATCTGATCCCGCCGAGGTCGGATCAAATATTCTGGGCCCGGCTCCCAAGCCATCTGGACTCAAGGGAAAACAGGGGCAAGTCACTATTTTACATCGCGACCTGAAGCCGGAGAACATCTTCCTCGGTAGCGACAACACCGTCAAGCTTGGAGATTTCGGCTTGTCCAAACAAATGCAATCCCACGACTTCGCATCGACTTATGTTGGCACACCTTTCTACATGTCACCGGAAATCTGCGCAGCTGAAAAATACACCCTGCGCTCCGACATTTGGGCGGTCGGCTGCATCATGTACGAGCTGTGCCAGAAGGAACCCCCTTTCAACGCTCGTACCCACATCCAACTAGTTCAAAAAATTCGCGAGGGAAAGTTCGCCCCCTTGCCTGATTACTATTCCCCAGAGCTCAAGAACGTTATTGGAAGCTGTCTGCGGGTCAATCCCGATCACCGCCCTGACACATCTGCTCTGATTCACCTTCCTATCATTCGCTTGATGCGCAAGGAGAAAGAGGTTGTTGACCTCGGAAAGACCCTGCGCCGACGTGAGGAGGTTGCTGTCCATAAAGTCCGTGAAATGGAACAGAACCTCGCCAAGAGAGAATCAGAAAAGCAACACATCAAGGCTGAAATCGAAAATACGGTTCGACGAGAGTGGGAGGTCAAAGCACGCTTAGAAATCGATCGCCAGGTGCAAAGCGAACTTGACAGACTCCGCAAGCGATTTGAGTCTGAAGTGCAAGAAAGGGTCGCCATTGAGGTTAAGAAGTACAAGCACAACACCTCCAATAGCAATACCTCCCGGGACGATGTGTTTCGCACGAGTACCAATGGCTCTGGGTCCTCTCGATCCAGCAATCAAGGTTGGCGGTCTTCTCGGTCTTCTGCCAACACGACAGACGACAGCGATACTACCCCCTCATCAAACGCCGACATCAGCCAGCTATCTCTTGGCTCTCCTCCATCAAATACCCGAAAGCAGCCCAAGAAGGAGACGCGAACACCTTTTTGTCGGTCCAAGACCGTTGTTGATTCACCGGTGGATGTTCAAATGGCCGAGCCGTCACCTATTTCAATCGCTTCGCTTTCCCTATCCCCTCGCCGCACTTCCGCCCAAGGAGGCGCTCGCAACATCTTTGCAGAGGCCGAGCGGACCAAGGCTAAGTGGGAGCCCACCCTAGCCTATTCTGATGATGATGACGACACCCCCGACTTGCCCTCACCAACTCGGCCTAAGGTGAAGCCCGACCCATTGAAGGCGCCACGACGACCTCTACTTCGCCAGAACACCGCGGCTCTCATGCAGAAACTTAGCACGCAACCTTCTCTCTTCCCTTCCGGCGGTACCCGTCTTCCTCAATCGACGAGTGCATCTGCTTCCCAGTCTGAGGAGCGCAGTGTAAGTGAGAGCAGGGCTAGGTCTCCCCACCGCCGTCTAACTAAAATCCCATCATCTGCCAACCTCGCTGCCGATGCGGGTACCTCACCAACCCGCAAGAGTGCATCGAAGCAGCAACCTCCTTCTACTAAGAACGGGGGTGGTGGCGAAGAGATGTTCAAGGCTGTTATGCAACGCAACATGGGTGGCCGTACCCTCGTCGAACTCGCACAGGCGAGAGCTGGAGGCCGTCCGATGGATGAAGTCAAGCGTTGTGCCAGTGACTCGCGCGCTGGCGGCCCCACCATGAGCGTGAAATGCTCTGAACGTGATGCTCCTGCTATCTGGAACCCTGAACTGGATGAGATGCCCAGTCCCTTCCTTGCCCGTGGCAGGAAAGTTATCCGCAACCTGCGGTAGTCTTTTACTTACATTAAATATCCTTTACATTTACACTGTTCTTTCGGTTTGGTTCTGGTTTCGGCTCTCTTATGACGCCTTGGGGTATTGGAGTTTTTTTTGGATTGAAGGTTTTTCTTTCTTGGATTTGGATTTCGATGGTTTGGTTTCTTTGCTTTGGTTTCTTTGGTTTCTTTGGAAGCCCCTTTTTGCCCACCGTTTTCGGTTTTCGCACTTCGCTTCTTGCGCATACTTTCCCATTATGTCACGGAGTTGGCACTAATGTTTTCGGAGCATCCTTGCCATGCAAGGCACGGAGTTTGATACATATGCCCATGTCTCTTTGCATTCGTTGGCTACACACTTGCCTCCCCGACTCGACTCTTTACCACTTTTCTTTTGTTGTTTATGCCGTCATGCCCCTTTCCTTCAAAAAAGGAGACGATTGAGTTCTCTTGTACATTTATTGCGTTAGCCATGCATTGACTGTCGAATTTCTGTACTTGTTTCCTGTTTCTCTGAACGTCTCATCTATTACTCGTGGTGTCCTCCTCCGCACACATGTTGCTTAGTGGTTATATTGGACTAATATTTGCTATGCCTCCCACTCGGGAGTACTTCACCTAATTCTTCTTCGGAAAGATTACATATTCCGGGTTCTGGTGCTTTCGATGCTTCAATGGGGGATGTACATATCCATTTCAGAAGAAGTAAACATGTTTCGTGTCATTCCAGACTTATAACAGCCCCGCAGAAGTTTATGCTGACTTCCTAAATGTGGGAGTCGAGTCATCCATCTACAGCGTTAGCCCTACCCTAATATGCCTCACCAGTACACTTTACCACTCTTTCAAACTACTAGATGCATAGAATAATAAATCTGCACATCTGATTGAAATCTGCAACATAATACGTGAATGATGTTCAATGAAACATTTTGACCAAAAGATCAGATTAAGCCCACGCCTCCTCATCTTCGATCTCTTCTATCTGAACAGACTTACTCTCCTGGTTAAGACGCCGCTCCTCTTCTTCTAACGCCAACATCCAATCCTCCTGTGGTGAATCGCCAGCTTGTGCTTCCGGAACGGGGCCGGCATGATACCCAGCCTTCTCAAGCTTGTCCAACTCTTCAGGTTCTAACAACTTCCCCTGTCCCTTGATTGACTGCTGTTTCATTCTGACCGCAGCCGGAACAAACTTCCTAGTTGCCTCTTGTCGCAGGTCCCGAATCTGAGGCTTCGCTTCGTAAACGGTCCTTGCTGCTGGAACCGCCGTTGGACGAGATGGCAGTGGGTGAGGACCACTACGCTCAACGTTCTGTTCTGAAGGCACATTTCCATCCCATCTGCGCTGGTGCTGGCGTGGGATTGGTGGCGGTGTATCCCGCGGCATGGGTATCCTTCGCACGTCCTCATCCGTATCGCTGGTGTCACTATCACGAGGCATTCGTGTTTCATTTGAGCCTCGCCTTCTCTTCCCAAGCACGCCGTCACCACCACCCCGTCTAGAACTATCACCCTGGCGGCCTCCTCTGCCGCCGTGATCGAACTGGGGTGCCTTGTCGCCAAGAGCTTCGCGCGCCTTCAAAACGCCCCGCAAATCCTTTTCTAGCGCTTCGAGAAGCTCCTTATCGCGCGGCCGTAGTTTTTGCCCTGATTCCTCGGCTTCTTTGAAGCTGTTGATCTGACGTTGAATTCGATCTGGGTTGCGGCGCGCAAGTTTCTCGTTTCGGCGGGCTAGTGCCTCTGATTTGCCTTTCTTCAACTCTTTTTGTTTATCCTGTTTCCGTTGCGCTGCGGCAGGGTTGATCGAGCGCTCTTTGTCTTTGGCCATGACGTCGTGTTGGTGTTGGTGTGTGAGTGGTCTGTAATTATCGGTATGGCGTAAGCTAGCTGCGCAAGCGGGTAATAAATGCCACGGACTCTTGGCGAATCAATTGAAGAGATCGCAGATTAGGTACCGGCACAAACGTCTGGGCTCTGTGGGGTGTCGCACGTGAAGGGTATAGTTGGAAACAAGAATGCAGGGCGCAGACTAGAAAAGAAAGCGCGCAATGAGGATGGCCAGTGTGTCTATTCCGCAGAATAACAGGCGATCAGTGCGTTAGGTCGCCTCGTCTAGATCGATCGCGTCGGGCCGTCAGGTCGATAGTCCGAGACTACAGGTGGGTGATGCTCACAGGCCGAATGTAAGAAAGGCTACGAACAAGCGGTGTGTCAAATAAAATCACCAGTTTTAGCTTCACGGTTTGAGCAGCTAAGGTTGGCTGTGATAGTAGCGGCTGAGTAAAGAAGTTAAAGTTGAAGTTGGGACTTGGTCAAGTACCAGTCCTAGATAATTTTGGCAGAAATCCAACATGCACAGCGGAAAAGAAAGCGGTGTATTTTAGGACCAATCATGGAAGTTAAATCTCATCTGGTCGCTGTGGTTCTCCGTAGAGAAACTAAAGAGTGGAGAGAGAGAGCTACCATGGTTCAGCATTATTGAACTACGACTACATACATTGTACATACATCGTACATTTTACATCTATGTTGATTTATATATAATCAATGTTATCATTGCATATATAGAGATGTATATCATTGCCCATTGCTCTCGATTCTCTTATATTCCTGGTGGGCATTAATGTACGGAGTAGAGCCTCTTGAAACTTCCATCTCAATGAGATAGGTGCAGAGCCTATGCAATATTCAATATCAAAGAAAAAAAAAACATCGAAGAAGTACTTGAGGATGAAACAAAAGAAAACTCTGAAAATATCAATACAATAAATACATAGGCTGCTAAAAATTACTTTTTCTTGATGTTCGTTCCATCTCCAAGCCCCTCTTTATGGGGAAGTCCGAGGTATCATATTTCCGCCTGAGCCTGTGCTCCAAAACATGCATATGTATAAAAGAGAAATCTCACTAGCCTCTTCGTCGGGAGTGTAACTGGCTTCCCTCGAGCCGCGCGCTGTCTGTTGAGTTGCCGCCAACCTTCCAGCGGCTCACACCTTCTTTCTCCGCCTCTCTTTTTCCTTTTTGATTTCTCCTCATAGGAGAAAAAAGAAGCTTCTCTCCCCTCCTCAGCCGTCAATAGTCGCATTCCCCGGCCTGACTGCAGTATATCGCAAACTCTCCTCTTTACACTCTCCATCCTCCATCATGACCTGTGGTCCGTTTGGTCTCACATCGAGTTTGATCGGCGCCTCGTAGACTGTCGCGGTCGGAGCATGTCTCTGCCGGGACCAAATGTCCGTCTCAGCCTCGATTCCCGACACTTCGCTTGGTCTCACCTCCTCCGAGATCCAGATCCTCCGACAACAGCAGCAGATTGCCTTGCAGGGCGGCCATGCCGGCAATGGGGTGGCCAGGGGAAGAGGCACTGGAAGGACCAGCAATTCCAGCTCGCGCGCAACCAGCGCTGCCAGCAGCCAGGGTCGCTTGCTGCTAGACCCTATGAGCCTCCGCGCACTATCGCACCAGCTGGATGGATTGCAGGCGCAGATCAGTCACCGGATCGAATATGTATGTTTCCTCCTCGGTCCTTGACCGCATGTCCATATCATCGGGAAATCACATTTCGTTGTTTTAACATAGGACATCCTTGCTAGCTCGAGGATCAAATGCAGCGCTCCATCCAAAACACCTACGACCGCGCGGGAAACGTCATTCGAAATGCCGATGCGGAAATTGCCCGCACCCGTGAAATCTTGGCCTCTATCGACGAGTTAGACAATGAGCTAGCGAAGATCGCCCATATCCGTGATATTGTCAAGTCATTCCGTGGCCGGATCGAGAATCTAGATCACCGCATTGATCAGAGTTCTCGGCGCCGACGATAATGCCTTCCCATAAACACTCTCTCCAAATACTTCCTTCAACCCCACCTATCTTGAAGCGCTCCGAAAGACCATGTACGGTCCTGCGCTCCGCACAACTCACTTTTACTCGACCACTGGATGGTCCGACCGATACACACCTATATTTTCTTCACACAAGTATCCGAACCAGAACACATCAAAGCCGACAGAACAAGAAACAACAGACTATATATCGAATGTGTCCTCATGAACCCTTTTTTTAATGCGCGCCAATCACCGTATTCATATATATGTCACATTTCATTACTCTGGGTATCTGCTTGATGAAACAATTGGCTGAAAGAACTGCATGCCTATGTTGTAGAGACACCAGTGTTGAGCAGGCGACCTCGAACGGACTGCAGTATCTTCATGACTGCTTGAGCTGCGTCGATGACGGCCATGAGAACTCGGTTCCCACCCGGTGGGAATCCATGAGATCTGATGACTATCATGAAGGGTTTTGAATGTGATTTAAAGCGCATAAGCACAACTTGTCTTATGCGTCTCCTTGTTTGATTTGATGCTTCTGCTATTTCCCCTGTTGCTTCGATTCCCCTCTCTGCATGTTGCGTGTACATTGCTCCGGGTTTTCTTTTTCTGCGTTGAGGTTGGCCCATGTCCATTGCTAGGATGATTATAGCTTGGCTTGTGGTGTTCTGCAATATAATTGGGAACAGTTTCTTCAAAACGATTGAATCGTACGTCGCTCTGCGTTGAGTCCTCCAAGGTTGACATGGACATTGAAATGTCAGGGTCTCGATTTGAATAGCAAGCAGGTCGTCGGTGCAGTCGCTAGAGATATATTGAGGCTACTCAAGGGGGTTGAGACTTCTTCCGGCGATGATGGTGGAAATCATTGCCCTGGTTTGATGGACATCCCTGGCGATCGTAGCTGAGATCTCATTGTAAAAGCCGACACAAAGCAAGTTCGACGGGCTCCTGCAGAGCGCCTTGATCATGTAGTTGATATAGCAAAAGGGAGCGCGCTGGCCTGCTGACACGCACACCTTGAAAGTGTGGCCGCATTGGTTTCGGGTTTTGTAGGACAGGGTGTAAGATTCAATACATTAAAGTGGCCCACGCGTTGACCCCCCACGCGTAGTCACTGGATTTGGCGAGTGCTATTCACGTTATTCAGACACCGCAGCATCCAACATTGGCACATTCTGTTCACATAATTCGACTGCTGCTCCTTGCGACGACGCGGAGGTATCTACTTTTTGTGAATTCACATCGCGTAGCAAGGCCGAGTCCTTCTCCTGGCGGCGTTCAACGAGCTTTTTCCCACGTTTCTCCGTCTGAGGGAATCGTTTTTCTGTCCCGCACAAGAGGCACCGGACGACCAGTACATCGGCCCATGGCTTCTTGCCGCCACGACTTGCGTTTCTGATTTCATGCGAGCAAGTCACCTCCGGCGTCAATATTGTATCACAGCGCTTGCAAACCGATCTCTTCAGTGTGACCGGCAACCGAATCTGCGTCTTCATTGCCACGGCGCGTAGATGTGATACACATACCCTTGAGAGGTTTCCCAATAGCTCTTGTTGTTGAGTATCTAATGTGTGGCCATTATCCCCTGAGTCAACATGACCAGCAACAGAGGTGTGTTCATTGTTGTGGACTTTGACGTTCTGACCCTTGGCGAGTGTAGATTTGCTCTGGAAATATGCGGCGGCTTGGTGTAGGTAATCCAGCCGTGCTCGAATATGGCTCTGAGTGTTCTTGAAATTCTTGACTTCCTTCTTTCCCTTGGCTTTAGCCATTCTCGAACATTCAACAGAGCAACAAGTGGATCTCAAAATTGTGTGCTGCAACCTGCACTTCGAGAAGAGCTTCCCATCGACGCTAGACCCAAAGCGGTGAGGCTGAATAACCACGTGATGCTCCCTTGGTGAGGTCTTCGTCCTACCGCCTTATGACTTCTTCCCCTACACCTTTGTCTATCGAGACCTGCCACATTCCCGCGGTCCATACGTCTTCTCCTTATTACCTTTGTCTACTTTCACTTCAACCACACGTCATCTCTCACTCGCAATACTTTTTCCTCTTCTTATCAAAACTCGCCTACTTACGTCGCCATGTCTCACGAGGAAGATCTTATCGACTACTCTGATGAGGAGCTTCAGACCACCACAGCACCGGCCACCACTGCTGCGCCTGCCGCCACGAATGGCGATGCCGACAAGCAGGGCGACTTGACTGTAACCGGCGGCCGTCCCGACAAGAAGGGCAGCTATGTCGGTATTCACTCTACCGGTTTCCGCGACTTCCTGCTGAAGGGTGAACTTCTGCGCGCCATCACCGACTGCGGCTTCGAACATCCATCGGAGGGTTAGTCTAACTCATTATTCCCACAAGCGTTCCTCCATTTGTCCAATCTCCAACGTCCGTCCATCCTCGCGGGAGGAATCTTCTGTCGGTATTTGGCAATCAGTCGTGTTTCGAATCTGCAGGCGACATGAGGATTATTGCTCCTGAAAAAGGACAATATGTCTTTACAATATATATACGTTTGGTCCTGTGGCGCTCTTGCGCTAAGCCTGAGCCTATGTTCCCAACTCTCACGTACTTCGTGGAGATTGGCGCACGCGGTGGAAGACTGTGATATTTATCACGTTTGCCTCCTTGTGAGGCGCACCTCATGTTGTCTGCAGAATATGATAGGATGTGCACAAAAAGCCTGGCTTTTAAGTGTTACATATAGTCATGGTGGTTTGATCAAGCGGCGGAAGATGACCGCCTGCATCAATTTGATGTTGTCGGGGGATGGACGGACATTGCGAGACGACTATTTTTTTTTGCTTCTTCTTTCGTCGAACCCAATCTAACATCGGCTCCGCCTTCCAACAGTCCAGCAAGTTTGCATTCCGACTTCCATTTTGAACGTCGATGTTCTTTGCCAGGCCAAGTCCGGTCTCGGTAAGACCGCAGTCTTCGTTCTCACCACCCTTCACCAATTGGAGCCCGTTCCTGGCGAGTGCCAGATCCTGGTCATGTGCCATACCCGTGAACTCGCTTATCAGATCAAGAACGAGTACGCCCGTTTCTCTAAGTACTTGCCCGACGTTAAGACTGCGGTGTTCTACGGTGGTACCCCGATCCAGAAAGATGTCGAAATCTTGTCCAACAAGGAAACCTACCCCAACATTGTGGTCGCCACTCCCGGTCGTCTGAATGCGCTGGTCCGTGACAAGAAATTGTCCCTGCGCAACGTGAAGGCCTTTGTTCTCGACGAGTGTGACAAGATGCTTGACCAGATTGGTATGTGCATGCGATATACGACTTGACTATCACATCTTACTAACATTCTTCCCCAGACATGCGCCGTGATGTCCAGGAAATCTTCCGTGCAACCCCCGCCGACAAGCAGGTCATGATGTTCAGTGCCACCCTTTCCCAGGAGATTCGTCCCATCTGCAAGAAGTTCATGCGCAACCCGCTGGAGGTCTATGTCGATGATGATACCAAGCTCACCCTCCATGGCTTGCAACAGTACTACATCAAGCTTGACGAGAAGGAGAAGAATCGCAAGCTGAATGAGCTTTTGGACAACCTCGAGTTCAACCAGGTCATCATCTTCGTCAAGAGCACCCAGCGTGCCAACGAGCTGGACAAGCTGTTGCGCGAGTGCAACTTCCCCAGTATCGCAGTCCACTCTGGTGTTAGCCAGGAGGAGCGGTAAGTTCATCCGAGTTCGGCATTGGCTGCAGCAATTTGCTGACCTCCATCTAGTATCAAGCGCTACAAGGAGTTCAAGGAGTTCAACAAGCGCATCTGTGTTGCCACTGATGTCTTCGGCCGTGGTATTGATATCGAGCGCATCAACCTCGCCATCAACTACGATCTCCCCGCCGACGCTGACTCTTACCTGCACCGTGTTGGTCGTGCCGGTCGCTTCGGTACCAAGGGTCTTTCTATCTCCTTCGTCAGCAGTGAGGAGGACGAGAAGGTCCTGAAGGAGATTGAGAAGCGCTTTGAGGTTGCCCTTCCGTAAGTTTCTCCAATTCCAAACTAAAATGCTTTTTGGCAAAAGGCTAATTATATCCACAGCGAGTACCCCGAGGCAGGTGTTGACTCCACCACCTACATGGCTTAGGCATGTCTCGGTAAAAACTTTGTTGATTTGAAATTTCTTTTCCTCTTTCCAATTGTTATGGCGCACTAGCTCGGGTTTTGATATGTTTTTCTCCGCCGTTGGGCGCTGCCTCTGCCCCCCACCCCTTGTGGCTTTGAAGTGAGGCATAACCCTTCCATGTATCCGAGAACAGCAATGGAAGCAAGAATGGGTTAGCTCTGCACGACTGTTTAACCGTATCCTGGCCGTATCCTGACGGGAATTCTGGGATCACAATGTGGAGTTGCGATGTCATAGTTATCGACGTCTGCAAGACAAGTCAAAGCCGAAGACAATCAGATAGAAATATGCGCCGCCCTGCGGTCGTGATTCCGACCAGACGACCCGAAGACCCTGCTAAGTTTCCGATCGAGCCGGAGTGGATATAGACACCAGAATTCAATATCTCAACTGTGTTCCTCGTGGTTTGCCCTTAACTGTCGGAACCGGTCCACCCATAACTCTAGGGCGCAATAATTAGCCTCCACTATACCATGTATCTAGAAGCTGAATGTATGTAGTCGGTGGTTGCAGTTCCAATCTGACTTAAAGAGCTTCGTAGCAGCTTTGGTCATCCTTTACCCGATCCTTGTATGAGCGATGTGATTTTGACTGATTCGACGCATCATACTGATCTGAGCGAGATATGTGTGCTGTTTAGGATATCTACCACTCAAAGTCAATACAGCGAGGGTATTCAATGCTGCGACATATCAGTATCTTCTGGTCAAAATTAGAAAATAAAGAGTTCCTGCATGCTATCATGACAACTGTCGAGTTGAACACACGGCGAAGAAATTGGGACATTCGTGAGTCGAGTAGCAAGATACATATAACTAATATGAATGTAGATAGATCTTAGTAGAATTGGCAAAACTCGAGATTTTCTACATGGAAGTACTCAGTGCTTTGTATATATCTCTGCGAGTTAGAAGTAAACATACGGTTGACCGTCCAACACAGAAAGTATCAAGCATAACCAAAGCCCATGACCTGGAATATAATACAGTTACATAATGCATTACCCTGTTTGAGGCGAAAATCAAAGTGAAAACACGAAAAATGGCTTAGCCCAAAGCACTAGCAGCTGGAAAGGCATCGGGTAGCGTATCAGGAAAATAAGGCAGAGACATCAAACCCTGTCCCGAATTTTCAGGTAAATGGCCGTCGGCCCTCTCACTTCAGCGTCGGCTGTTTGTGAGTGCAGAGTCTGCGTTCGCGTGATTTGAATCCGTAACTAAGCAGATATAATATAGAAATGATTGTACTCTGTACTATTACTTAGATCAAGACCACGTTGCGTAATACATAATAATTTAGCTGGCCTCAATGGATTGACAATGCAAATCACTGAATCTGCAATGCATCAAGGACTGACGTGCCCGGAAGTGCAAGGAAGAGTCGGGATGGCATCACCGCATCCGCGTCTCCGAGCCCGGTTCAAACACAACAAATGCCATGGCGTGATCAATTCCGTCAGGTCACTACAGAGCCCTGGAGCTCCGAGGGAAATATCTATGGGCCCTACAACGTACGGAGTACTCGGTATGTTGTACGGAGTACTCTATAGTTAAGTACCAGCTAATACTAAGATACTAGTGATTCCAACACGTTATATAAAGTAGCTCTACATCGTCTCCTTTCCCTAGGATCATTATGGTTAATATGCTTGATTAACGGCTACCCCGGCTGGGGGGGGGGGGTTGGTATACGAAGACAAATATTTAGGTTTAAAAGGACCCGATTGGGTAAAAAGGGTACTAAACCAGCTGCTAAGAAGCTATTTTTAATTATCTGCGATTTAAAAGTTTTAATTCGTGCAGAGGGGTATGCTTTGAGGAAGTCATCTTTATTAATATGGTTGATCCCAGCCTGTATTTTCATTTTAATCAACCGGCTGTACGACCGCTTTACTACCGCAAAATAACCGATATTAAGTGGTTATAAAAGGTGAGATAAATGCAGTGGTATATAAATTAGTATAATTTCATTTTACTTATAAATCTTATCGAATTTTAGGGTTAAATGGCTTCCGTGACCATTGAGTACTAGAAGCCGATACCGATCCTTTAACCGCGGAAAAGTCGATAGAATAAAGAGCTTTTAAAGCTAGCGAAGTCTAATTTTATTAGAAGTCCAGCCATTTAGACTAACTTTAAAACGCCAGTCATTTGGAAGGTTATTAAACCAAGATTCTATATAGACCTTACCTTTGAAAATAATATACAGAAGGAGGGCCTACCCCGCCGCGTTTATATATTCAATTGCAGTTACCCACTCGCAATTTCTGGGTTATAAAAGTGATCTCTGACCGTAGTATTCACTTCTAGTAATAACCTTTGCCGTTACGGTTAAACCTATTGCAAAACCGGTCTCGTCGAAGTTATAAATATTATCTAGGTCAATTCTAAATTAAATAATGGTTTTTTGAATAAGATTAAACCATTCTCCAATAATTTTCGGGTCTTCATATTTTACACGTTCGTAATTATAGTATCTTGAGAATCGGGAGGAAAGAAGAGGATACCATTTAATAAATTCTGTAACCCAGTTTTTACCAACTGAAAGAGCCGGGGTAGATCCACGTTATTTGAGGAGAAGATTCGCCATTTCTCGGACCATAGAAGGCCGGGGGGCCCCTCCACGAGAATCTATAGAGATTATCCATTTCTCAAGCGATTCTTCCTCAGTTTCTGTCAATTTATGACCATTGGCGCGAGTTTCGGCGCGAAAGGGGCCCAATGGACTCTCGCGTCATACTACGATATTGGTCACGGATGTGTCGGCCTTGAGGCCCTCCGAAGTAGACGGTCAACTCCTTGGGATCATTCCGCACGATGTCGGTAATGCGGAAGCCATAGTTATCGGAGAAGTAGGCATCAGCATAATCCCAGACCTGCTGTGCCGCTTTGCTTTGGGTATAGAGCTGCATACCCATGCCCTTTTGTTGACTACCCTGACCAGTGAAAAGGAATGCCGTCTCCTCAGGTTCGATCTCAGCTTCTCCACGCAGAACGGTCTCGCCGCGCCCGACGTGCTTTGCCTCCACTGAGACGATCTTGCGTCCCGCCAACATGCCGATGTGCTGGAAGACGACTTCAATCTTATCTCCCGGTAGCACCATACTCGTGAATGAGCAGTGGAAGCTACGGAAGGCGCCGATGGTTGAGGCACAGGTGTAGTGTTCGACAAGTCCACGTACCCGTGCCGAGGTGTACATGCTGTGCGTGATCAGACCTGGTAGATCTGCATATCGCGACAGCGACGCGGACACATGGATGGGATTGAAGTCCCAGGAGACGTGAGCATAAGCCTCGTTAGAGTGTGGCATAGTGAGAATCAAAGATTCGCCATCGTTAGTCAAGGGACTAGGCTGATCAAACATAGCGCGCTTCTGCACTGGACTACCATGACGCTTGAGGTAATCCATGACAGGGCTACCTCGGCAGGTGACTGCGTGATAGTCTACGGTCGCAATCGGCCGCGAACCACCTGGGAGCGATGAATTCACGCGAACTTCACCAACAGTAGTAACGGTCTTGAAGGTGTCCTTGCTGGCGTATTGGTAGGTCGAACGAAGTACGAAGACCAAAGTCTGGTTTTCCAGGTCGAGCGACCGATCCAGGGGCTGGAACCAGGACTTCGAGTTCAAGATCGCAACCTCCATCGGGCTACGGGGGCAGAGCTCCATCTCTTCCTCGTCCACTTTGCGGAACATATTCTCCCAGTCTGTGTGGTGGCCTCGGTAGAGGAATTGACTGCTTAACTCGAGCACGACCTTATTCTCATGGTACACATCCGCACGTACCTCGACCAATTTACCTGTCTCCTCGATCGTAATGGCTTGTATACGAGACTTGGTCTCAAGTGCATAACCTGCCTGAATGGGGTCCGCATCTGCGGGAATGCGGAAGCCATTGGTGAGATGCACCAGCGTCAACAGATCGACGTCAAGCTCCCGCGAGAAAAGCGGCTTCATCAAAGCTTCCCAGCCAATGACGACACCAAAGTCCAACGGTGCCGCCATCCGTTTGCCACGCCGCTTGCTAGCGGCATCGCTGGCATTCTGTACACAATGGGCGAACTCGGCGATTGAGTCGGCCGTCACCTCAAACTGCGATTCGCGGAAGGTGTCGTGGACCGAGGGCCATGTCTCTGGTGGTTCACCCGCGAACCAGACTCTATAGTAGAAGTCTTTGACACGCTGGTTGCGGCCTTCCATAATTTCATGGATGGGAGCGTAAACAGCCTCACGCCTGAACTGGAACTTCAACTGCAGCCCAATAGCGGCACCTCCAGCATTACGGTAGTTGATGATCTCAAGCGTGATAACGCTAGGCTCATCCACTCGCACCTCCACGACCTTGACCGGCTCAGAGTGTGGCCGATGTTCGAACAGCGTGATTATCGGATCTGCCGAAAGGCCTCCGTGGCCCTGCTGCACCATCACGTATGATTCACGCGTGGGCTGGAAAAGCCGCCGCAGCGGATTCTCGCAGATGGCTCGGCCCTGCACGATCGTCGCTGCGTGGAAGAATGCTTGGCGCCAGCCTCCATTGGAACCGCCCAAGGCCACAAGCCATTCTGCTAACGAGGGTGTTGGTGGCGCACCGGGCGCACCGTCCAGTGGTTTCACTTCATATAACATCGCGCCTGTGTTTCCGACGGGCGAGCAATGAATGCCCAGCTCCGCAAGTCGCCAGTCCTGTGGGACAGAGTATGGGCTGAAGCAGTCGACAATAGGGATACCATCCTGCTGGTATTCGGGATCTTGCTGCTGCAGGCACTCAATGTGTCCATGGTAGATGTTGCCTAAAATGTCGCCTGCCGGCTCGTCCACCTTAGTTGAATATCGCGCCGCCACTGGGCCGTACCCGGCCGACATCAGCGTCAGCAACAGCTGCAAGATCCTCTGACTGCCACAGCGAGTCTTTTTTGAAGTAAGTCTCGAAGTTTTCGTCGAGGACAGGGACAAACGGTACTGGCTTTGTGCCGCGTCTCTGGCATAGAAGCAAAAAGTATTCCGCATCTTGCGTGCCAATAAGCTGGGCCTCAGCGGTCGGCAACCGCTTCAAGATGGCGTTCAGCGCTGTTGTCGGATCAGCAAGAGCCTCGTCGCCGTTGACTTCGCTGAGTCCGGGGCCGGGGGCTACGTCGCCAATGCGGGCATCCACGCGCTTTAGGAAATCTTGCAGGAACAAGCGGTAGGAATCATCGATCCAGCGGCCCTCAGCCGACACATAGGTAAGCGCAATAAAACGGCGCAGAACCTCGGCGTAAGTCATCTCCTCCAAGTCGATAACAGATCCCTGGACATCGCACCCAAACCAGACCTTCACCGAATCGGTATTCAGTCGCTGAATCAGGTAGTCACGGTGTTTCTGCAGATACGCGACGCGCTTACTACGATCAAGGCTGAAGACATTGCGATCTAACTCAGCCCATAGTTGCACACCCCGCGTAGCCAGCTTATGAATAGGTTCCCCCATCTCTGAGGTTACAGTCATAATGCCGCCAGCTGGTTGTGTGTATGTCTGCTCCCAATCACCTTCATCCTCGACTCCTGGCGCATTCACAATTGCCTGTTTCACAGCTGGGCTGGTATGCGCTTCTTTGGCGGTCATCAAACGACTGCCGAGAAGGATACCATCGAAGGGCATGGGCGGGCGGTTATACCGACAGGCCCAATCACCTGTTAGGTAGGGGAATGTGTCCTGTGCACCGCCAAAGCCACTGCCCGCTACAAGAATAACGTTCTCGCAGCGGCGGATGGAGTCGTAGGCTTGCAAGATCGGTTGGTGGAAGTCCTCGAATGAGTGGTGGCCACCACCTCGCCCACCTGTCCATTGGAGTAGAATAGGGAAGGTGGGATGAGCCGATGCGATGTCGAGGACTTGGTATATCGCGGGTAAAGTGCCAGGCTTGAAGCCCATGTGGCGTAGACCGAGCTCGTTGATGTACCGAGTGGCCACCTCGAGTGAAGGCACGCCTGCGCCGATAGTGAGTCCCTCCAGGGGAACGCCGGCCGCGCGTAATTTGGCCAGCAGCGGAATCTGCCACTTCACCGCGTGAGGAGCGGCGTAGATCATGTTGCAGGTGATGCCCCGGCCAGCAGGTACCGCGTCCAGCAGCTTGTAAACGTCTGTCTCCAACTGGGCGGCTTGATGGAATCCGCCCAGTGCCAATTCGACATGATAGCCGGCGCGCATAACTGCCGCACAGAAATCCCAGGCTGCAGTTGTGGGCGTCATTCCGGCCACCATGACTGGTGGCAAGCCCAAGAGGCGACTGAGCTTAGTATCGACAAGCACGCCGCCGCCGGCAATCTGTACCAACTGCGGTCGGTAGCGATTCCGCCATATAGGTCCGTAGACGAGACCCTTGGGCGCAGGATTCCAGTTAAAGAACTCACTGCGATCTCCCAGCTCGGTGCGGGAGCTGGAGATGCCCGTGGCCAGGATAGTACGGACGCCAGTACCCTCCTTGAGTCGATTAGTGAGAGTTCCAATGCCAGATGCACCATCAGGCCCAAAAGCAAGAATATGCGTGGATCCGGGAAAATGCACGGCCCGTGGCCAGACGACTTGCTGGGTCGTTATCATCGCAATGAGCTTGGGAATCAAGTTGACGGCTCCACACTTGCGTAGATCTGTCCCTGTGTGGGTGCAAAAGACAGGGATTCGGAGTTGGTCACCGGTTATGGTGAAATCCGCGACACGCTCCAGCACGCCCGGAGCGACATCTGTTAGATAGCTGCTGTGGAAGGCCGTGGTTATTGGAAGGAATCTGGTATGGATCTCAGGCTTTCGCTGGCTGAAAGGAATCCGATGTTGCAAGCCCTTTGCCGGAGCTTTCACCTGTCGTAGCCAAACATTAAACCCATGAAGTGACAGTGGCGGTCCAGCCAAAACGGCATTGGTAGGCCCGTTGATTAGAGCTATCTCAATGCGGGCATCAACGGGCAAATACCCATTGACGGAAGCTACATAGGTGCGGAGCTGGGAGATTGGACAGTCTGCCACACTCAGCATGGGTCCTGGAAAGCCCTCGCCGTTGGCTTCGGCGTCTGCGACAACAGCCGGCGGCAGCTGGCCCACGGCAAATTGGTCCTGGCTGGCAGTTCCGATGGCGAGCAGCAACCGAAGCGCATCGAGCGCGAGCGCGTCGAATTGCGTCCATGATTGTGCCACTACAATCACAGTGGCTGGGATGATGCCTTGAGAATGTCCCGTGGCTCCAGCAAGCGCGGTCTGAAGCTGGGCAGGTGTGGTACCCACTATGCGTCCGACGACTCGATACCAGGCCAGCTGCAACAAACCGATGAGCGGCATACTGATAGACGCACCGATTAGGTAGTCAGATGGTGGCGTACGATCCGGGTTCTCGAGCCAGGTGACTATGTCCATGCCGTTGTGATAGAATCGACTAATGCTCTCCTCACGGGTCTCGCGCTGCAGCATACTCGAGACTGACGGAATGAGGTCTTCCACCAGCGGGCGATAGGTCTGCCAGAGCATCCGCAGCTCTTCAAAGTAATCTTCATCATTGCCCTGCCCGCCGAACACAGCATATAGTCGTGCTTTGCGTTGCTGCGCGGCAGCCAGGAGCGCAGAAGGTGCCGCTGGTCGACTGACTTTGCGCAGAACATGGCGCGCACGTACGTAAGCAGCTAAAATGGCCGACTCGGCGTCTGCGGAGATGTCCAAGGCATAGACTACACCATGGATCTCGCGCTGCAGTAGAATATCACGATCGAAGGTATCGAGGGCGATGGTCAAAAGATGTCGGAGATCGTCAGCCAATCCATGAGGAGATTGCTCTAAACGACGCACGGTAAAACCAATAAAGCGGGCTCAAAGCTCCACCAGAGAGGATATCGGCTCGGCCCCACCAGCGGTTTGAAGATCATGGAGAAAGTCATCGCGCAGCTGAAGCGCAGCGGGGAATGAGGCAGTAGAAATGGAGAGGGTATGTGTGAAACGGCCATCTGTGATGGTGAGGATTTGGCTGCCCCAAATGTTGCTGGGCGACGACGAGGTGGATAGTTCATCAGGCGTTGACCAGTTCGAGGAAGTCGAAGCCGACAAGACAGCCGACGGCCCCGGCAATTCGGTCGAGATCAACATGACAGAGAAAAAATTGAGCCGCCTAGGCTAGGCGTCAACATATTTTTTTCCCCATCGCGAACGCCAGACCCTGCCATATATTCTTCATTTCTTTGTCTCTTTTTCTCTTTGTCTAAGCATCGTCGTTGACGGTGGGGCGCAATCGTGACGGGTGGGTCTTGTGAGATGTTGAGCCCTAAGCGTCTCACCGTGCAGCATTCCCAAGGTTGCCGCCAATCTGACACACCAAAATAGCCTGGCCTCTATACGAGGCTAGAGGCGCTTGGGGGGCCAGAAATGCGTCGGACCAATGCCGATCAGGCAGCCGTTCTAAAGGCCAAAACCCGACGGCTGATCGACTGTGAGATTTAATTCAATTTAAGAATGTCGCCCGTCAGCACCTTGTGACTTTTCTCCGCTCGTCTGTTCTGTTGTTCTTCTATCACTGTCTTTGATCTCTGAGTGCTGTTACACTCTTGTTGGCCGTTATTATGGGTTGGCCAACTCATTGTGGTATGTTCTTCTTCTATTAATCTTCTGGGCCTTGACTGATCTTGATAGATTTGTCCAGCGAGGACGCTCAATATGCCTACTGCGCCAATGGGCCCGCCGCTGTCTTCTTCACAGTTATATTCGGACTCACCTGGATCGCTCATTTCGCTCAAGCGGTCATGTACCGGAAGAAGTTCTGCTGGGTGATTGTAGTGGGCACAGTGTGGCAATGCATCGGAATGATTATGCGCACCTACTCGACCATCGATCAAACCAAGTCGACGACCACGGCCGCCGGACAGCTGTTGATTCTTCTGACGCCCTTATGGGTGAACGCCTTTGTGTACATGATCTTCGGCCGCATGGTCTACTACTTCTTACCAGAGAAGAAGGTGGCAGGCATTCGGGCCGAAAGACTGGCCCAAATCTTCATCTGGCTTGATGTGAGGTGAGTTTCGCCCCGAAAGGCGGCCCTGGGTCAACTGTCCAGGACACTCTTCTTGTGTAATGAAACTAGCTGACTCTGATCTGACAGCTCTTTCATTGTTCAAGCAACTGGTGGTATCATGGACTCGGACTTTAGCACCGAGATGAACAAAATCGGACTGCACATCTACACAGCCGGCATTGCAGCGCAACAGTTCTTCATCCTGTGCTTCTGCGGACTACTATTCGCCTTTCACCGTCGGATGCAAGAGCGTGGTAGCATTTCTCGTGGCGGTGGCTGGCGCCCATTGGTGATAGCCATGTGGGCCACTTTGACATTCATCACGGTAGGTCACCTTTCCAGGACCATTAGTTACAGACGACTAATGCATATTAGATTCGAATCATCTACCGTCTGATTGAATTTGCCGATACCGACAAGGCCGGGACAAGCCCCTTGACCCTTCACGAGGCACCCTTTTACTGCCTGGAATTACTGCCCATGCTCTCCGCCATGGTCATCTGGAACATCTGGCACCCTGGCCGTTATCTCCAAGGAGATGACTGTGACTTTCCCAAGAAAGTAAAGCTGTCTCGCAATGAAAAGAAGATGATAAAGCAAGAAGCCAAAGATAGCAAGCGCCGGGGTCATCGTCGCTCGTCTAGTCGTAAGGGTGCACGTGTTTCTGAGTCTCACCCGGCGAATTCGTTCGACGAAGGGGCTCTGGAGTCGCAGGGTTATCCATTGCGAGGACATAGATAATCAGCTACATATCAAGTAGGGAGTGCATACAGAGAGAGTTTTTCAGACATGATCAGCAAAGTGCCTATTGTAATTCCAAGCATTCAGATTTACTTTCAACAGTTACTTGTGTCACAAACACTCGAACATGTATCAATGCCGGATTTCAAATACTATCTGCATTATCTTACAAGTTGTTCAATCTAAGTCTGTCGAGAACGGACATTCACACTGGCAAGAGAGAGGTATAAGTACTAACAGTTAGAGGGACATTCTATAGGGTAGTCCTGGAAGATCAGTAGCAAAACCTATCCTCCGTGGCCGCACGAATCATAAGCTTAATCAGGCAAATGGAAAATCTAATATGATGTGACCGGAGTTTTGTTGGAACTCTTGTGTGTAAATAGAAACAGAGAGTATCCCGCTCACCTGGGCAGGCTTAACCTGCCACTAGACCCAGGAAAGAATGCAAGAACAAAGAAGAGACACCTGGGTACGCTAGCCCCGTCCCAGAGGCAAATGAACCGAAGATGCAGAGAAACCAGAAAATTGAAGATGATAATATATCCCAAACCCATTCTTATTTATAGAACAGCACCTATATGCAAGCATCATAAACCCTCGTCTGCCCCTCAAAATCTGAAATATCCAACTGCACCCCAGCATGAACCAACATCTCAACTAGTTCTTGCTGGTTCGACTCACAAGCCATATGCAGCGCGGTACGTCCCCACCAATCCTGATCATTCACAGCACGGGCTGAATGCTCAATTAGGACGCGCACAACCCCCGGCTGCTGAGCCTGTACGGCGATATGGAGTGCTGTCTCACCCTTTCGGGTAACCCAGCTGATTAGGTCTCGAGGTGGGGAGCTAGATAGTAGCAGTCGCACTACACCTGCGTGACCTTGTTGCGCGGCTGAATGTAGGGGCGTGAAGCCCGTGCTGTCGGGTAGGGCGGGATCGGCACCGGCCTGTAGTAGTACTGCTAATACGGACTCGTGACCGTATAGTGCTGCGCGATGTAATGCTGTGTGTCCATGTGCTCCATCAGGTCCTCTTGTAGTGGAGCTGCCGGTGCTCTCTGGGGTTCCGCGGGGGGTGTGTAGAAATGGCGGTGCGGGTGTTGAGCAAAGAAGGTCTGTGTCGATTGAGGTTTGGAAGGGATGGGCTTGATTCTTGGGCGAGGTCGAGAGCGAATCGGAGCCAGAGCCCATGGTCTTCAAATTGAAGATTTGATGTGTATCCTCATCCAGCGATTGTGCCCAGGGGCTTCCGGTGAGGCCAACTTGATCCAGTTGCGAGGTGTATGAATGTAGATCGGACGGCAGTTGTAGGGGGTCCTGCTGTTGTATATGATGGTGAGGATCCGCATATGGTTGCGATGGCCATTGCCCTGATGATTGTGGTCCCACAGCAGGTTGCTGCTGTGGTGCCCCTGGTTGAGAAGATTTTGAGTCTAGAGGAGAAGACAGCCCACCGGCGGCCGATCTGGCAGTGGCTTTAGTCTGTGTGCTGTTCTGGGATGTGGGATTCTCGTCCCCCTTGCGTAACCCTAAAACTCATCATCAGCTCTGTGATCTACCAAGATCGTCCCGCTCTATCCACCGAGTCTCAGTCTCAATTTTGCAACCAAAGACAATTTTCCTACTCACTTTTTCGATATCCACGTTGAGCAATTCGATTTTGCGCCCGACGACGCTCCACTGGGTCACTGATATTCGCCCAGTTCTCGCCCAGCACTGGGGTTCTAATCACGAAGATCATCGATTTAGCTTAGGCAACTCCAATCCAATTTGGAGTCAGGGGGAGGGGGGGAGACGAACGTGATCATGATGCATAGAGGCTCACCTAGCATGGCTATGCAGGCAACAAGTAAAACAACCACAGGCGGGGACCACTCATTCAGATCCACGGTGTCACAAAGCAGTCTCAGTCATGATACGCATTAATTATCCGCATGGCTCTGGTCTTCATCTCCTTTTAAATCTTGCTGACGAGGTGGCAGTCAAGAACCAACCATCTTAGGTGCTGTTCGAGCGCATCCGCGAACGGCGGCAGTCACCATCGACCGTACCCACTGATAATGCGCACTTGTTGCGTACGCATTTGGATACGGAGTTTCCTTGATCGTACGGTCTGGGTACCCAGGGGCATAGGTGCCAGGGTCATTTTCGGATTTAATGCATGCAATGGTGCCTTAATGCCTTAATTTGGACTGGCAAAATATCAAAATACCTGAATTACAATTACAGAAGCCTATATACCTGAGTATCAGGCCTATAGAGCGATTTCTGCTATACAACTCCATATGTCATATGATTCTCAGGCGGTTTGGACCTGAACTCAGAGGTAATAGCGATCTAATTTATTATATCTCTTAAGAGAAAATAATATATAACGTATTCAGTAAACGAGCTACGCACGTAAACGAGCTACGCACCCCAAAACACATAGTAAAAGCGATAAATTACAACATGATATTGCAACAACGGTGGTCAATATAAACTTTATCTTGTAGCCCATCACTCTCCATATGATATCTGATCACTCTAGGGAGTTTTGAGAAATTTGATATAATAGTGATTTGAGATATATATATTTCCTATAGTTCAGTGATGTAATTTTCAATACCGCAATGATGCAACTTTCTGATTTATTTGAAATTGAGATATATTGCTAAACATGCTTATCGATGGCTATCGACAAGTAATGAAAGCAAGTTGAGACGTGGTTGTTGAGATATAAATGTGGAATATGTTGCATTTACTATGGTGTTTTGGGGTGCGCAGCTCGTTTACCGAATACGTTATAGATTCAGCTGAATAAAGGTAGATAAGGAGGAGAGAAAGAGGAGGAGAAGAAAAGGAAAAGAGAAGAAAGAGGGGGGAAGGTATCACCTCGGCAACGGATATTTACTCACGCGTTAGTCAAAGGGTTCGTCCGGCGTACTGGTTATTCCGTGCTGAAAGCTTTACAATACACTGTATCCTGGGGCCTGAAAGCGGTCAGTGTTAAGGCTAACATTAGGCCAAATTAAGGCCAAATTCAGGTACTAAGGCCACAATATACTACATTAAATCCGAAAGTAGTCTGGGTATACTCCATTGTAAAATATTCAGCAAAACCCGTGGAAAAATCCTTTGTTCCTGGTTGCACACGCTAATGCAGACTAATGGTCTGAGAGTGTTTTCGTTTGACCAATAGCCGAAATGCCTCAGCGATCGGGCTAGCGGCGGGGTTTCCTGCCCAGGTGCCAATGCTACCTCCTGAGTCCTGACACCTGTTTTCAGAGCAGGTTTTGAGTTCGACTCCAGAACCCGCACTGCTCCACTGGGGAGTGGCTTGGTCAAAAGGTACGA